TGTGTGCTTCATTCTTGGAAATGTAAGTTCTATATAAGTTTCCAGTATAAATCCCATTTCATCCAAATTCAAAATTTGGGTCTAAGGTAGCCTTCTTCCTGAATCACTTTTACAGGAGGAAATGCCCGGCACTTGCTTTGTCGGCACTTAGGCTTCACCACATAACTTTACATTATGAAAGTATAGCGGGTTCTCTAAAACCAGAAAAACCATCTAATTACTAGTAAGCACTTAAAGGCAAACTACACATCAGCAGTGATTTTCAGCTTTTTTTCTAGGTCCTCATATATTGATAAGGCTTTCTTTAATGGTGAGGAAGCTGGTCCCAGATCGCTTGCTTGATCTTCTATCCAAACACTTAGAAGCCATTCCATCTCCCCAAGTTCCTTTGGTCGTGATCTCATTAATTTCTTGCTAGCTCTCAAGGTTTTTCCAGCAACTCAGCTTGCTTTAATCTTTTGCTGCATTGGCTCTTAATGGTGCGCGCAGAAAGCAGACTCCTTTATTCCTCGCTGGGTAACGACAAATATCACATGTTCTTTTCCTTATTTTCAAAACGCTTGACAACATTGCTTGCCTTCAAGTGTTATACCTTTCTTTTACGACATCAAATACCGAAATGCATCACCAGAATGCTTCCGGAGATATTCTTCTTTTCCATACAAAATTGGAGAAACAGTAAATCAGAAAGCACTGAGGACGCTTTTTAAAAATTTTCACGCTTTTCAAAGGAACGCAGGTGGAGTAAAGAGATGCAGGTCTAAACGCTACATATTTTGTTTTTTCTCTCTAGTTAAATTTTACATTTTATATATACTTTCCGTACAGGTATACTGTATACATAACATACAAATTATTTCTGCAATTGTTCACAAACAAACACATATAAATCAATTGAACATGTGATGTCAAACTGGAACTGTAAACACGTATAACCCCGCCGCCAAGCTTACAGCACTGTACAGTACACTTTAAACGCCACGATTTAGTTTTTCTTTTATTTTAAATTTTGCAATTTACATATATATATATATATTCCGTATAAGTAAATTGTAATTTCATATTATTCAGATATGCTAGAGCGCCTAATAAAACATAAGAAACGCTGAGTCCTTGTGCAGAGATGTCCGTTTATCCACTTCAGGATGTCTTTTAGTCCTCCTTTTGTGTACTCAGCCAGGACTCAAGTATTTCGTATAAGTGACACAGGATGATAAGGAATTTTAATTTATTTGTTTATTTATTTATATATATAATATACTGTAATATATTAAATATACTGCAAGTATTTTCTTTTTAATTTATATAATGCAGTTCATGTAAAAGGAGGCTACATTTATGGTGATCACATGACCAAACTCCTAATCCATGACGGACTTCTGTTCATTATTTATATCCAATTTACTCACTGTAGTTTCAAGAATTAATGCAGTCATTTACTGAATATTCTTTGCAAAAAAATAAATTTTAAAATGAATTACTGCATTTAGAGATAAATATTATGATCAGTAAATATGTTAGATAGTATTACTGACCACCAACACAAGGAGGAAGCAAAAAATAGCCACAGTATGCAAGGTCACAGTCATGTCACTTTTCCTTTCTTAATACTGGCAAATGGGGGTGGGGGGATGATAATAACAGCTGTGTTTATTACGGTATGTTGAATACATTTTTATTATTTTAATATACCGTAATCTTCATTTTAATCCAGCTTCCCAAACGAAGTTTCAGTATAAAATAATTAGTGGTACTAGACCAGAGTGGTTTACTGTATACATAACATTACATAAATTATTTCTGCAATTTTTCACAAACAAAACATAAATCAATTCAATATGTGATGTCGAATCGTAACTGTAAACTGTAGATAAAGAGAGCGCTGTGTACAACGCTATGTAATTTGATTTTCTTTTTATGTAAAATTTTAAAATTTACTTATAATATATAGGTATACTGTATATATAAATATATATACATTATTTCTGCAATTGTTCGCCAAACAAAACACACAACCCACCTGAATATGATGATGTCGAACGTGAATCAAGCACAACAACCGCTCGAAGTGGAATCATAGTTAAACGAGTTCGCTTTACAAATATCGTTCCTCAATTCATAAATCGTGCTCGAGCCAATTCGCTTGTCAAAACACGCTATATAGCAGAACTCACTATACAAATTTAGATCTAATGTAATAATTTGGTTTTACAAAGCAGACACCTAGACCCTGACTTACGACGGGGTTAGGGACTCCAAATCCAGGTCAAGTCCGACATGGTCGTAAGTCCGATAGATAAAAAAAATTTTTTTAATAAAAAATCTACAATGAAATACAGTATAAAAGTAATGAATAATGATGAATGGATACAGTACAGTGAAGTAATAAATAATAAGGAATGGATACAGTGTGACTGAGCACTTAACCTTTAATGTAGTCAGCTGCATGCACATGGGGCCCCCATAATTTTCTAATTATACATGGAGACTACATTAACTGGAAACGTTTCGTGTAGAAAATGCGGTCATTTAAATTTTTTTTTTCTATATCTGAGGCGGTCGAAGTCCCGACGGGTCGTAGTCCACGAGTCGTAAGTCGGAGTTCTAGGTGTATTTTATCTTTTGTGCAAAATATATAAGTTTACATTAAAATATTCCCTGACCTGCAAGGAATCCAGAAATGTCAGTACAGTGACCCTCTGTTAACGAACTCCAATCCGTTCCAGAAGGTGGATTTAAAACAACTTGACCATTGACTTCAATGGGTTTTTGGAGTAGTGGTTCCAGCTCACGAAAATGTCCTAAATTCCAACAAAAATGGTGAAAAAGTTCACTTGCTTTGAGGGTGTGTGTGTATGTAGAAGGCTCTTGGATGATGATGATGGGAATTAGAATGGGGGTGGAGGAGAAGGAAGAAGAAAAGGCATTGGGGTGGAAGAGAAGTCACCCCATGGCGCCATTTCATCCATAAAATTTTAGTTCTCTTGGTGTATTTCAAGATTATTTTCTTTAAATCAACACTGCACTGCATTATATATTGTCAATATGTAAAATATATTTCAAAATGACCAATAATTTGCTTGGAAACAGAAAAAAGCATTTAGTTGAAGAGTCTCAAGCAAGATGTTACCTCCAGTGAAAACAGAGAGAGACTAACGCCTGTTTGCTGTGTTAAGAGGCTGGATGCCGCGCATTAAGCTAGTCACTTTACCTTCAATTATGTTCAATAATTGTTAAAATGACTAAAAAATTGAATATTAAACTTTTAAAATTATTGAATAGTATAAACTTCTTGATATTTACTAAAATAGTAAGGAATTTAAGCCTAGAACCCGATTAATGTGTTAGGCGGGCGTCACTAAGCTGGTTGCGGTCAGTGCAAGCCGAAACATGTTGAGAATGGGTTGGCAGAACCCGTTAATCGAATTTTTTTTCGTTAACCGAATTGAAGATCCTTATGGAAGGCAGTTCGTTAATCGAAATTACGTAAACCGAGGTGTTCGTTAAACGAGGGGTCACTGTATATTATCCTAACTTTAGTCTGAGTTATTATTTATTACTAAAAATGTAAATTACTATTTTCTCCCAAAGCTTCTCTGGTAGGGAGGGAAGGTGCGGGGTGGGGGGGAGGGAGGGACGGACCCAGCTAGGGCCGAGTATTTTGATTGACAGATATTGTCCTTGAAGAATATTTCTTTGTTTATTTAATGGTTAGTTACTTAAAATAAGACCAGTTCACTTCAAGTAATGGCATCAAATGTTACCAGCTGGTGTAGTGTAAACACTAGTGACGTCACTTAAGCGTCTGTATTTAACTGTCCGTAGTTTCAAGAATTAATGCAGTCATTTACTGAATATTCCTTGTAAAAAAATAAATTTTAAATTAATTATTTATAGGAGAAGTATTATTATCAGTAAATATACCGATATGCATTACTGACCACCTCCACGGCTAAAAATAGCCCAATCTCGCGGTCACTTTTCCTTTCTTGTCTCCTCACTGGCAAATGGGGGGGAGGGGGGGGCGTGGGGAGGGGTGTGTGATGATAGCTGTGTTTATTACAGGGGTATAATTCTCTTTTACGGTATGTTAGACAGGTTTATAATACATTTTTATTATTTTATTATACCGGTAATCTTAATTTGAATCCAGCTTGCCAAACGTAAGTTTCAGTATAAAATAATTAGTGGTAAGACCTTGTGAGTGGCTTACGATGTTTCCATCACCACTCCGTACACACTAAACCACAATATTTAAGAGGTAAGAATTTTATACTTGGTGGTTTAGACGACCCCCTAACTTTGGGCAGATTTTTTTAATGTTCAAATTCCGTCTTATAAGCCGAGATATATGGTACCCAATATCCCATTGAAACAATGGATTCGGTTTACGAAATTTTTGGTTAACGAATGACTCTGTTGAATGAATTGTGTTCGTTAACTGAGGGACCACTGTACAGGGGAATAAGTGTTGTTGAACGTGTCTCATTACCCAGAGGATGCTATGCATGTGGAAGATGCTATTCTTTGTACAGTTGTGGAAATGTGTTCCTACACCCCTTGTGGTAACCTGTGTCTCCAAACAGCAACATCACAGTAGTATCACTATTTATAAATGATTAGGTATTTGTCATGTAATGATGGATGTGATTGGTGGATAGGTTTTATATATTGTCGGCTCATGTAGTATAAGTTGGCTGTTTGGAGACATGGGTTACATCAGGGGGAGTAGGAACACATTTCTGCAACTGTACATAAATACTGTACTTGTAATATATACTGTACCAGTAAAAATCAAATTGCTCTTGGTGCAATACGCTATCACTGGAAGATAATGTTTACGAATACCATTAAGTCTCTGGGATTGTCACTAAGATACACCTGCAGCAGTTTTAACTAAAAGTGTCCAGCAAAGACCAGGGTCTTGCTAAATGCAATGTCAGCAGAAAAGGGTTCATTACATATTAAACTGATTAATTTATATGATTGGTATTTTCCAGGTGCTTGTATATTGAGAGTTCCAGTTCTTTATGGACCGGTTGAGAGGCTTGAGGAAAGTGCTGTTACCTGTCTTCTTGGCATCTTGAAGAGCAAAGAACCCAAGAGTGTGTCTCATTATGATAAGCGCTGCCCAGCTCATGTCCATGATGTAGCACACATTTTATGTGATATGATAACCCTTATGATGAAGGTAAATACACTGTCTAGCAATTCTGTAATTTAACAGCTGAATTTTTTAGCTATTGACTATGTTTTGGTCATAATGCATTAAATATTTATTAAGTTTTATAACTATATTATGTTAAATATTCACTAAGTTCATATCTTTAACATGTTAAATATTCACTAATATTTGTACAGGTATACCCCTAAACTGACGTCCCATTAACTGATGCTTCGCATAACAGACTATTACATATTGGAAAAATGCCCTACAAGTTTCATTGATTATCCTGTTGATCCGATGATTGGGAGAGGAGCTCTTTTGAGTTTGGCAAGCTTTGACGTGGTGGGAATTCTTACCATGAGTATGCAAATTTGTATTTCATGAATTATCAAGACTACAGTATACAGGCAAACCCCGTTATTCATAGCCTCGGTATTCATGATCCCGCTTATCCGCAATCAATTTATTGTTACCAATTTCTACTATTTGCAATGGTTGCCCCGTTTATTCAGCCATTAATAACAGCTGCCATCCGCTCAAGTTGGCAACGCAGGTTGGATGCTGTCGGAGCAAACAAGCTCCACTACATCCATCCTGCATTGAGTGCCTGGGAATATCATGAACTGTTGTTTTTTTGTTTTTTTTTCGGGAATTAGCCAACCCGGGCACAGGTCAAACGACCCACAACGGAGCCTGGGGGGCGAAAAAAAAGAACGGAAAGAAATTGAAAATATAGAAAAAAAAGGTTATACTGTATTAATCTACACCACGAAGATGCCGGAAAACCAGCTTTTTAAAGTGAGACAGATTGTAAGAGCATGGAAACACAGAAGAAGGCAAAGCATTCCACAGTTTGGCTGTGTGAGGAAAGAAGGAGGTACTATAACGGGCTATTCTCGTGTGACCGATATCAACAGAGAAATGGTGGGCACCGCGGGCAAGACGTGTGTTACGAACCCACGGCCTTACCGGCGGTACACAGGATGCCAAATCCCCTGAACATTGCCCGTTAAAGTACCTGTAAAAGAGAGAGAGTGAAGCAACATTGTGTCGAAATAGACTGCTTTGGCTCGCCTCCACATTGGCCACACACGGCTGACTCATGGTTTTTTAATGGAGAGGGCACCCCCCTCCTCATTGTGATAACTACTTGGTCCCATCGACTGTTTGACACCTCCTGGTGGAGTGCTCTAGTCTCAGAGATCTTCTTAGTAAGCATCTCTCCCAGTACCGGGGAGGAGACGGGTCTTACCATCTCTCTTTGTGCTGGGGACGAGGGGGAGGGGGCATCCTCTCCTTCATGGAGAAAGTTGGCTTTCCACACATTCTTTGATTTTTATCTATTAATGTTTAAATGTTTTTTACAAAAGTTATATGGTACTTATGTTTTTTTTTTACCTTGCATCATTTGATTTTAGTCTTGTAAGCCTTTACCGTATTTTAATTTGGCGACGTATGTCTTCAGCTGTTGCATCACCAGGAATGTAATTAATCAATCAGTCATTGTTACAACATGCTATTGTGACTATATTTTGAGTATAGGGAGTCCCCAAGTTACGAACGTCCAACTTACGAGCACTCGCTGATACAAACTAGGTCCCAGATGGTAAATTTTTTCAAGAATCCAACTTAGATACCACTGGTTCATAGTGTTAAGTATGAGAGCTGGTTTGCGTGGCGTAGAGTTGAGGCGGAAAAGTGGGTGGGGAGTAATACGTCACCCAGCAACACACCTTGAGGGAGTGTCAGTACACCTAACCCTCACATCAATAACATATTTGATCAAGTGCAAACTGTTGTTTTTTGCTTATTAATTCTATTTTTGCTGCCTTCATCATGGCTCCCAAATGCAAACCTAATGCAAGTGAAAGTAGTGCATCCAAGAAAAGGAAAACAGTTACAATGGAAGTGAATGTTGATGTAATTAAACTTTCTGAAAAAGATGAAACATTCTCAGTCATCGGTAAAGCGTTGAGCTTCACTCAGAACGATCGGAACAGTTTTGAAAGACATACCGTATATCACGGCCTATAAGGCGGCGGGGTGCATAAGACGCCCCCCCCAAATTTCCATTTAAAAAGTAGCTTTTGAGCTCTATTTGCTGTATAAGACCAGTACCCCAAATGTGACACTTACCCACTGACTCAGTAGTCCTTTACCAACCATCCTTGATTTTTTAAAATAAGGCCAATTCACTTCAAGTAATGTCATCAAATTATACCCGCTGGTGTAGTGTAAACACTAGTGACGTCACTGAAGCGTGGTGGGAGTGTTCCCTCGTCTCGGTGGTGTGACTATTTATACAACATGTGGTTCAACATCAACCACCGTATTCTAATTGTGGTGTTTCATTAGGATTTGAGTGAAAAAGGTTACCAGTATGTACTTACTACATACATTTATTACACAAATATATATATATATATATATATATATATATATATATATATATATATATATATATATATATATTATATATATATATATATATATATATATATATATATATATATATATATATATATATATATATATATATATATATATATATATATATATATATATATATATATATACTGAATATACTATGTACAAAAATGAATGTTCAATGAATTATTTATGGTGCATTAGGGTACTGGCCACTTCAGATGGGCTATAAATAGCCTTGTTATCTCCCCTCCATCTCACCCTGAGCCAGACGGAAGCGTCTTGGTAAATAACATGTTTGCTTATTTTCCATTTACTTTAAATAGATTTACCGAATTATTTGTTTTATTTATTTATTTATAATATACTGTAATATATTAAACACACTGTAATTATTTTCTTTAATTTATAAACTGTTTTGCGACAAAGGAATGTTCTCCAGTAGTGTTTCATTAGGATTTGAGTGAAAAAATATTACGTACTTACACAATTGTTCCTCTTACTTTGACAACACAACATACATACAGTATATTATTTCTCAGTTTTGATCTTTTTTTTTAATTTTTGTATTTATTTATAGTTAGTTACTTAAAATAAGGCCAATTCACTTCAAGTAATGGCATCAAATATTACCAGCTGGTGTAGTGTAAACACTAGTGGCGTCACTTGAGCGTCTGTAATTAACCGTCGATAGTTTCAAGAATTAATGCACTTTTCCTTTCTTGTCTCCTCACTGGCAAATGGGGAGGGGTGTGTGATGATAGCTGTGTTTATTATAGGGGTATAAATCTCTTTTACGGTATGTTAGACAGGTTTATAATACATTTTTATTATTTTAATATACCGGTAATCTTAATTTGAATCCAGCTTGCCAAACGTAAGTTTCAGTATAAAATAATAAGTGGTAAGACCTTGTGAGTGGCTTACGATGTTTTCATCACCACTCTTGACACACTAAACCACAATATTTAAGAGGTAAGAATTTTAAACTTGGTGGTTTAGACGACCCCCTAACTTTGGGCAGATTTTTTTAATGTTCAAATTTCGTCTTATAGGCCGTGATATACGGTACACAAAATTTTATTGGTACTGTACTTGACAATGCACCTGGCCTTCCTGCATTTTTAGATGATGTTCATCGAAACATTAAGTTTCATCCCAATAAAGCCTCTGTCACTCCTACAAATGTCCATCTCAACCTGCACGCCAGCCCCAGGTTTCAATGTAAGTGTTAAACTTTAATTTTTACTTTCCTTCAATGTATTTTGTCATTCAATTTCTTCTTTTCCCTCTAATTAAGTTTCTATATGTATAAAAGAACTTAGGCTATGATATAGTGCACATTTGGTATGTGTTATGACTTACATATGGAACTCGTTCGTAACCCGGGGACCTCCTGTATCCATTTCACCAATGTCTCATAAGTTAAAAAAAATTTCACTATTTCATTATAAAAATTTCAATACACATCACTTTATCACTTCAAAAGAATAAGTGTTGAGGTTCTAAGAGATAAATATCTTGAGATAGCGGCTCAAATGCCACGGTGGCCATTTTTAGGTCGTGCCTGAAACCAAAACTCTCACTGCTTACTGAGGCAAAAGCATTACTGACAAGTGATGTCTGTTACCACGTGGTCCACCGCACATACTGTAGATGGGTTACCACCTAGCCTTAAGACTTGGTTCCACGCAAGAGAGTGGTGTGACAAAAGTGGTGTTAAAATTTAAAGGTATTTGACCAGAAACTTTAGAGAAAAAGAAAACAAAACATACTGGCATGTCTGATAGTGAGGCAAAAGTTACATTTACATTTAATTAAAATTCCACTTATGCAAGTATAATCCTGAGTGTTAAAAACAAATTATCAAATATTTACAAAAGCAGCTGGACCTCACATTAAAAACAATCATGGGTGACACCCATGCTGCAGTACTGTTGTAATGTTTGCACACAAACTGCTGTGTATATACTGTACTGTATAGACATATGCTAAGAATTTGCACTTGTAAAAATAAAATGCAATAAATCGGACTACAGTAATTGGGGCAGAACTCAGTCTGGAAAATGTGAATCTGTGGTGGGGCTGGAGATAACACTGTTTATCTGGACTACTGTTTAAAAAAAATCCTTTGTTATAATCTTATTACAGTAAAACCTCGATAAGTCGGACTTCACTATATCAGAATTTGCTTTTCTCGGACTCTCCAAGGTGCTTCGGGCCACCCCTCTCTATATATCAGAAAAATTTAAAAAGGTCCGGAAAATCGTGACTCAGTCCGGATGGTTTGCATGTTCGTACATGCACGGGTGTCACGCGGCACGTGTCTCAGTCTGAGTTCCACTTCCATACATATCACCAGTGCGCTGCTCCTCACTGCCTACACTCATTTACGTGAACTTTTGGTGATTTATTTCAATTTTTGGTGTTGAAATGGCTTCTATCCCATCAACATATCGTGCCTCTTCACCACCTAAAAAGAAGAACCTGTCCTTGCAGGTGAAGCTGGAGATGTTGGGAGAGTATGAGCGAGGAGTCAACCGCAGGATCCTCTTTAAAAAGTATGGGATCAAGAAGTCAACCATCTATGATATTATTCATGCCAAGGATAAACTCAGGCCCAAGGCAAAGAAGATTGACACAGGTTGATCTAAGGCAAAGGTGCTTCGTAAGAGAAAGCAGCTGTTTGTGAGTCTAGATGATGCAGTGTACACGTGGTAAACACAACAATGCACTGAGGTTGTACCAGTGCGGGTTATCAGCATTCAAGCCACTGCAAAACGTCTTGCTGAATGCCTTGGCCATCAGAATTTTAAGGCCGGCTCTGGATGGTTGTTCAGATTTAGGAACAGGCACAGTATTGTGAACAAAGCCATCACTGGTTAGCTTCTCAGTGCTGATCGTAATGCTGTGGACCCCTTTGTGAATAAGCTGAGGCACGAGCTACAGGTGGCCGTCCAACAGAAAAAGAAGCAGCTAAAGATCAGCGATTTTTTCAAATCAGCAGTTCCAGCGTGGGACTCCTCAGTTACATTTCCTGCACACACTCCAACTCCTCGTACCTCTGTCGCTTCAACATCCTCACTTCATATTGTGACCCGTGAGTTGCCTGACATCATATTCTTGGAGGATGATGAATAGTGGTAAAGAAAGACATTGTGTACAATACAGTACAGACAATATTAAGTGCGTACAGTTAACATTAAATATAATATGCTAAGTGAAAAGAACCATGTACAGTACCTATATTGTTTTATAAATAGAAAATGATTACAATCCAGTAAAATTAAAGTGCCAAACAATTAACAAACTAAATTGTAACTGAACATTATAAGTGTGCTGTTTGCTTCCACTATTGAATCTACCATCTACAGCATCTAATAAGGTAATTAAAAACACCTTTATCAGTTTTATATATTGTTCTGTTTAAACCATAAACAATGGCTAGCATTTTATGTAGAGTATACTGTACAGTATATTGTCCTTAATAGGGATAGTGTACAGTGGTCTAATCAGATATGATATAGGCCTAATGAGCTAATACAGTAGGTACTGTAGAAGAGATGTTCTTGTGTAAATGTGTTGGAGGTTGAGGGAAGGCTGGATTGGCTGTTGCCATGTTCACCTGTTTGTTTTTATTAATAGTATTCATTATTTTATTCTTGTATGATCAGCCTATTATGGTGTATGTTTCATCATAAATGATATAACTTACAGTATATAATATGACTTCCAAATAAAAGAAAAGCTGAATCACAAGGCAATCCTCTTTCCTGACAACTTACCCCTTCCCTCAGTAAAGGAGTGGGGGTTGAGAGTTGGGACTGACCATGCTGCATTTGCCAGTTTGTTTATACTCTGTATTTAATCATTATTATATTCTCGAATGATCATCCTCTTATGGTGACCATTTTTCATAAATAATATAACATTAAATAATAGAAGAAATATGTTCCAGTATATAATTATATACTGTAATTTGTAATTTGACTTTAAAATAAAAGGATATGTTATATCATAAGGGAATCTGCTTGACCACTTTTCACTTCCCTCTGACTGCCGTCGAGGCCAGCTTTCGACCTGAATACTGTATATCTCGGCCTATAAGCCGTCGGGGTGCATAAGACGGCCCCCCCAAATTTCCATTTAAAAAGTAGCTTTTGAGCTCTATTCTCTGTATAAGACAAGTACGCCAAATGTGACACTTACCCACTGACTCAGTAGTCCTTTACCAACCATCCTTGGTTTTTTAAAATAAGGCCAATTCACTTCAAATAATGTCATCAAATGTTACCCGCTGGTGTAGTGTAAACACTAGTGACGTCACTGAAGCGTCTGCTATTTACCGGTAACTGGAACTAATGTCTGTGTCGAGTAAAATTTTTCCATTTACTTGAAATATATATATATATATATATATATATATATATATATATATATATATATATATATATATATATATATATATATATATATATATATATATACGACTTACACTTCATTGGACTTGACCGTCGGGGACTTGACCTCAGATATAGATAAAAAAAATTTTTTTTTTTTTTAAATGACACGCATTTTATATACCGAAACGTTTCCAGTTAATGTAGTCTCCATGTATAATTAGAAAATTATGGGGGCCCCATGTGTGTTCAGCTGAGGTTAAGTGCTCAGTCACACTGTATCCATTCCTTATTATTTATTACTTTCACTGTACTGTATCCATTCATCATTATTCATTACTTTTACTGTGTTTCATTGTAGATTTTTATTAAAAAAAAAAAAAAAATTTTTATCTATATCGGACTTACGACCATGTCGGATTTACGACCTGGATTTGGGTCCCTAACTTCGTCGTAAGTCGGGGTCTAGGTAATATATATATATATATATATATATATATATATATATATATATATATATATATATATATATATATATATATATATATATATATATATATATATATATATATCTTGATAAAATCTCGAAACTGGAAACAACGAATACCTTAGCTGGTCTTTATTCAAGAGCAACAGTTGCCTCTGAAGATGTGAATAAAATGATTTTATCATTGTGTATTTATATATATATATATATATATATATATATATATATATATATATATATATATATATATATATATATATATATATATATATATATATATATACAATTACTTGGTTTTCACTAGTAGCGTTTACGTATCTGTGGTGCCTCGCCAAACTGAACTTTAAGGTTTTTCCACATATACTCGGTGAGTGTCCGTCTCGAGATGCTATTTTTAGATTGCCCCACCGCCACCTGCCTGACTGCCTATTTTAGCTCATAAAATTGCACAAATTACCGGCCAGAATATAATTTGGCTAAGAATTCTTACAATATGATGATCATTTTGAATATAAACATCATAGATTTTGCATTAGACATACAAATTTTAGATAAAATGTTTACTCTGAGTAAATATGTGATTTTTTTTGCAAAATATATGACATTTTGTATTCAAAATATTCCCTGTTACAAAGGAATCCAGCAAGCAATACTAGT